ACTTCTGTTTTCTAATAGTCACACCTGTGGTGCTTTTTGAGAAACACTTTTTACATGAACTAATATTCCTTGCTTCTCATCCTCATGCCTTTCTCTATTTAGTCACAGCTACACTCAGCCCATCAAGTGGGGAACAGTCACACACTTAGTCTCTTGTCCCGTTTTGTTTGATTACTAGACTTAATGGGCATCACATTCTTAATGGGACCTTCCATTGAGACCCCTTAATTCTTTCATGGATTTTAACAATTGACATTATAGTCATACCCCCACGTTTATCTTTATGAAAAGTCTTAGAACAACTAAGGCCCGTCAAATGTATCATTTTCATAAAGATAAACATGGAGATATGACTATGGGCCTTAGTTGTTCTAAGATTTTTTAGCTTTACCTTTTGCCTTCTTTGTGTATCCTCTGCTGGACCACATTTCCCAGGCTCCCATGTGGCTAGGAGGGACCATGTGATCACATTCTAGCCAATGATAGGCAAATAGAAGTGATAGATGTCACTGCCAAATCAAGTATTTAAGTCACCTCCCTCCAACCACCCACAGATTGCCTGTGATCTTTTTTCTTCCCTTGAAGAGAAGAACTGAATAGTCTTGCAGAAGGCTACCAACCTAAACAGAGTACCCACTGGACTTCACAGAGGCTGGAAAAACCTTCGACTGTGTGAAGCCAGAGCTTTTTGGTTAAATTTTTATAATGTATTTCATTCTTTAACTAATGCAAACACACTTTTATTAAATTCTATACTGTGTAATGATTATTATCATTACCATTTTGTAGATTATTAAATTGAGATTAGGAGAGGTTAGGTAACTGGTACAAGGTGAAATGGCTGGTAAATTCAAACCAAGACAGGCTGACCTCAGAGCTCAAATTTTAAGCACAACAGTGCCCATCTCTCCATTTTATATTAAAACAAAAACATACTTTAAAGCTACAGGATTGGGAGAGGGAAAGAAGACAGAGATTAATGGAATAGAATCGTGAAGTCAGAATCAGTGTCATGTATTGATAACCATTTAGCATATGACAATAAGAGTATTTCAAATTAGCAGTGAAAGCTACATATCCCATACTTTATGCTGATGTATTTTACAGGAACATTAAAATAACAGATATAAAAAATTAAATCATAGTAAAAGAGACAAAGATATTTATCTGATCTTATTTCTAACTCCTAATATAACATCCAGCGTTTGGTTAATGTTCAGTCAAACCTTAGGATAACTACCCCTGTCTTACACTTGACGGCAACCATATGAGAGACCCCAGTGTCATGAGAAATACTAATAAATTATTGTCTTGTTATAGAGTACAGGTACCAAGTTCAACTACACTGAGACCCAAGCTAGCCACTTAGAGAGAAAGAGGCCATGTACAGAAACAGGAAAGCAGATACGCAAGTAAAACCTTTCGGACTCTCCAGACTGGCTTCGCCTCCAGCTGAATGAAGATGACCTGGGCCGATGACGCCTGGAGTGGAGGAGCTTCCCGCTGAGGCCGCCTTAGCTCCTGACACCCAGAACCATGAGAAAATAGATGGTGGTTGCTCGACCATGTAATGCTTTGCGGTAAGTTTTAAACACCATGAGATAACCAAAATATGAGCTATTTAGAACTAGGTCTCTATATTTGCTGCTAAGTCTTTTAAAACTATTTTCAATATAGGTAAATAAATAAAAAGGAAGGATGGACAGAAGTCTGGGTGCTTTAGGATAATTTTCTGCATGCACTGGGAAGAAGTTAGGTTATTTAAATCCTCAGAGCCAAAACGTTGGTTTAGGAATGGCGAAGGAGATGGGCAGGGGAGACATGGCTTATCTGATTTCATGGAAGATGCAGAAAGAGCTTCTTTAGAAGATGCAAGACTCAAGTCGCTCAAGACTCCTGGCTATCTGCCCACAGCACACAGAGCAGTGCATTTGCGGGCTGCTTCCGCCTGCCACGTCCTCCCCATTTGACGCATTTCTTCACCTCTCTATCTCCCTATAAACACAGCATGTCGTCACTCCTCCCTGCAGTGTCCCCGGCATGTCATCTGATCACCAACACTTGAGTTGTTAGGAGAAAACCAAAGGGCACAGTGAATGCGTGAGTCTGCACTGATAATTCTTCCCCCAAGTACTGTTTTCCTCCAGCCCCTTCTTCAGATGGATGGCAAACGCGGTGGGTGCTGCTGGGGTGGAGCCATCTGCTTACCCTCAGCTCCCTGCAGGACATCCATTGACAGTTTGTACATACAGCAGGAGAGAAATGAGTTAATGACACTCGTTGCTCCCCCAAAGCGTGCACCTGTCACTTCTCTTCAGTCTACCATTCTGTTTTGAAACCTACTACCTTCTAGAAAGTTCCATCTACAAAGGTTGGTTGTTGATTTTTGAAGAGCATATTCCTGGACCCCAAAATCCCTGTCGTATTTTCATCTGCATAACTGTTAATTGAACAGCATAACCGTGACAGCTAACACAGCAGCAGCCTCTGAAACTTAGAAAGGTGACAGCATGGTGGCCCCAGAGGCGCTGGTGCACTTGCCGACAGGCTCACACCCCAGAGCACTGACACTTGCCCTTCAGTCCCACCTTCAGAGCGAGAGTGCTTTCCTAGCACATTTGCTTGTCCCCGTCTATGCTTGGGTCAGCCCGGCAGAGCATGGCCTGAGATTTTTCATTTCTTTCACTGAAAAGAAATCTGAAGTATGTAAATGCTTAGCCCAGAGGAAGAGCTGGCACTTTCATCTTTCAGAAAGTAAACGAAGTAGCAGTGACAATTGCTCATCTGGATTTAATTCTAACCTACAAGGAAGGACATGTGTGTGTGGGGGGGGGGGCTCTGAATAATAGGAAATTTATAAGAAAAAAGTGATTTCATCTTAGACTTGCTAATTATTAAATAAGAATGTAATGAGTATATCAGTTCAGACCTGGGCTTTATAAAAGCAGATTTCAAAAGGTTCCAAGGAAAAATAAAAAATAGGTGTCTCAATTGGCTAGAGATTCTGAAGTAATGAGATGAAAATTCTTAAAATAAGCAAACTAGAAACGAAGGAACAGAAAAGGACATGGCATTACTACAACTGCCAATGTTATAATGAGGAAGAAATCTGGAGGGGAAGGTGATACGAAAGAAATTACGGTGGCTGCACAAGAAAGTTTTGACCTGCTCTGATTTTAAAACACCAAACATAAATGATGGAGGAAGATTGTTGGCCTAAAACAAATGAAAAATAAATGAGTGACAGAACTCAGCAAGCCAGTGGTGAGAAAGTTAACGTTTTAGAGTAAATAAAGGCTTGTAGAAATGCTTGTAACAATTACAACACTTTTGTATAGATTTGAGTAGGGAAGGGTAGGGAAGGCCATTGAGGTGGGTCATTACCAAAGAGAAAGAACAAAATAACAGAACTGATGAACAGGTCCATTGCTTCAACAGTGTTCTAGGTAAAAAGGTATCTAAATGTTAAAGAGCTAACAAACTATATTTAAATAAATACATTTTCGGTTCCAGAAAAATGTGGATGGGCAAATAATTTGATTTTTAACACATCAATTCCATATACTAAAGCCTTCTGACTTTTGACAGTAATCTCAGCAGAACTGGAGAAGCAATTATTCAAGAGATGGCTCATGCAACCACTGAAGGGCTGTAGCAATCTCTAGGATTGGCAGAACACGCAGAACAAAGCACACAAACTAAACCCATTTAAAAGCTAAATTTAGGGTCAGGTAGCAGAGAATGCCTTGTACTTTTTCATTTTTGCAAGTGGCAGCATGGTATGAGTTAAGAACCAAGGCTCTGGTGTGAGGCTACTGGGTTCAGATCCTAGCTTTGCAACTTACTGTGTGACTCTAACCAGTTGCCTAACTTCTCTGTGTCAGTTTCCTTATCTGTAAAATGGGGAAATGATGGTGCTCATGCTCGTCTCATAGGTAACTGTAAGAATGAAATGAGGTGGTACAAGTAAAGCACTTCTAAGTGCATGTGGAACCTGGTTTGGATCTCAGAGCAGAAAAAAGACATTTATGAAACAACTTGTGAATGCCAAATCAAGTCTATAATTTGGTTAAGAACAATGTGAAGATATCGTTTTCTTAGTTTTCACAAATGCATATGGCTATGTAAGATATTAATATTAGGGAGAACTTGGAGAAGGGTCTATGAAACTCTTTCTACTATCTTTGCAACTTCTCAATAAATCTGAAATTATTCCAAAATAAAGTGTATTAAAAAAATGAAATTCACAAACTGTGCCTAACATAAAATACTTGATAAATGTGACCTATTATCATTGTTCTAAAATTTTATTTACAGTCAGTATATAACAATCTAAAAAGTCTAATATAGGCATACTAATCCTGAACCAGCAATATATCTTGGGTGAAGATTTTGAAGCTCTAAGTACCGTGATTTGAGATAGCACAAAACTGGGAGAAAGCTAATATATTTAAAGCTTATATCCACTAGCCTTTTTTTAAGCAAGAGACACCAACTCCAGCTTAGGTGAGGCTTACAAAATCAAAGGAGATGCAGAGCAATGGGCCTTGGAAGGACAGGGTCAAGAAAACTCTGGGGATCTAATTAGCAGGAAAGAAGGGATCATCTAATCAGAGTGCAGTTCAGGGATGTGTAACCTACAATAGTTTTCAACTTTGGACCCCTCCAAGACTCATATTCCAAAGAGCAAGAACGACTGAATTAGCCCAGCCTGGGTCACGTGGGCCCTCTGGAGCCCAGCATGGGAACAGACACGGGAGCAGGGGCTGTAACAGGAAGGAAGGGACCTGGACACGAGGCACGCAAAAAGAACAGAAATTCAGTGCAGCCATAAATGCAGTTTTGAAAAGATCTTACTAATAAAACTTGGGAGGGATTCTAATGACATAAAATCTGGCTTAAAGGTTAAGTTGGTTTTATAAAGGGAAGAAATAAGCTAAGAGGCTCTAACTGTCTGTGTGCACAGGGTGAACCAACCTGTCATTTAGCTGCCCAAACACTACGCTATGCGGAGGCTGGATATAAATGCAGGGGGTGAAGGCCCTCCTGATGTCGGCACTAATGAGGAGAACTTGTGTTCTAGTATTGGTTCTTTAACTGAGTGGGGTATTTCCAAAAGGGAATAAATGAGGTAAAGTTCTATGACTGGAAGTTCTATGACTGTGTTCAGTGGTCTCCAATGTGGGATTTATGCACCCTGGGGGGAAAAAGAATACTTTGGAGTGAAGGTAAAATACCAGAGCTGCTTTTAATATTTATATTGTATATAGAGAAAGAAATCCATTAAACTTAAGTGTTATTTGTTCTACAGATTGCCCCTGGTGCGCTACCTGTGTCCAGAAGTTAGGCAGTCTCTGTCACATGTCATGAACCATGTGTGGGATTACTGCATGAATGCTGTCCTGGGGCCCACGGTCTCACCTTCAGTTTAAATGGGCCCGGGTAAGTGGGTTTGGGAAGTAATGTAAGGAGGCTGTTTCAAAAAGGCACCAGCACAGATGTAGCACTGTTATAATCATGGTATTACAAAGAAACCAAAATAAAATGGGAGAGCATGCACTTCTGTTCCCAGGACAAACCCCTCACTAGCTACATTAAGGGATGAAAGCAATAATGATTTAAATAAATCTACAAGAAGCTGGCCAACAAGTTCAAAATTGTCAAGAAGAAATTCTGCATTATGGATTTGTATCTATTACTCTGAATGGTAAAACACCCTGAATTAGTAATTCTTAACAGGGGGTAACTCTGCCTCTGAGGGGGACACTTGAAATGTTCAGAGACATTTTGGTTATCAAAACTGGGAGATGTCATCTAGTGGATAGAGGTCTGGGATGCTGCTGCTAAACCTCCTACCTGGTGCAGGACAACCCGCCACCCCCACCGCCAAACAAAGAATTCTCTTATCCAAAGTGTCAATAGTGTCAAGGCTGAGAGGCTTTGAATTAAATGTACATTAATATATTATCAAATAATAGGGCTACCTATAAAATTTATGATATGCATGAATAATACATTATATACATATATGAAGTAATGTGTGTTATATGTACGTTTAAAATAATATATATGGCAAAAGTACTTTTAGGATGGGGACTGTAAATAAAAAAAAAGTTTGGACACCATCAGAATAACACGTAGACGCTTGATAGAGGTTATTGTTTGTTTTTATTTAAAGACTGGTTAAAGTTTCGGAAACCATGTCACAGAAATTATTGAAGGATTTGTGCTTATGGCATCTGAAACAGAAGATGAGAGCATTATTTTAGCTGTCTTCAAAAATTTATGAGTATTTTGTAGAAGAAAGATTTATCTTAGTGGTTAATCTCCAGAGGGCAGAACTAAGATCATTGGACTCAAACATCAAGATGACTATTTTGATACAATAGAAGGAAGAATTTTCTAACAATTTTAGTGGTTAGGCAATGAAATGAGCTGCTGTACTACAGGAAATTCTCCCTTGGGATGGGACGTTGGCCAAGATGAGTTGTGTGGGCTTCAGCTCAACAAGTCTGCAATTTTTGTTCTTAAAATACATGCACAGCTTTTTAAGCAACTTATTTTGTACTCTAATGGGCCACACTATGTTTTTAAAGCAGAGGTTGCAAACTTGTGGTCCCCAGAAGTGTGTTCTGGTTTCCAAAATAGTGTTTAGAAACATTTTAAAATTAATAACCAACATTTTAAAAGCAAGAGATTTCATGTTAAATAATCCAGGTTTCAGGTTTCTCTTGCAATATGACAGCACCAGGTCCAAGTTCCTACATGACAACAGGAAGCTGGTATTGTCCACTCTGCTCATTCCTATGACCTGCCTTGGCCCTGAGAGCCTGAGGCTCAGAGCTGAGCAGTGGTTAACAAAGCTGCTCCAGTGCCGCGTGACTTGGCTGTAAATCCTTCTGGCATCATTTACTGGTGGTGTAACATTGGGCAAAATACTTCATGTCCCCTTTGATTTAATTTTCTCATCTCTGATATGATGATAGCTATGATATCCACCTCATAAAGATGTATTAAGATTAGCTGAGTTCACCACGTGCAAAATCATTGGAAGAGTTTCTGGCATAGCTGTGCCTAGTGAGTGTCTCTTACAGCTATTTGAGTTTGTGGCTCCTGGTAGAAAGGTTGCCTGAATGCCTTTCTCATGCAATTCTCAGCAGAATGTTTTAAGTTAACACTGTTTCCCTGATCTGACATTACTGTCTAAGTGCACGTCATGCAAGGGACACCAGTCACGTTTCCATCCAGGCTTTGAAACAATAGTCCTGACCATTTTTTATATGTCATATTCGGTAACTGGTTAAAAACAAAATAAAGGTGTGGTTGGAAGAGATTGGAAAGAACTATTATCTTTCTTTTATATGACTTTGATAATTTCATGTCAGTAATTAGAGTGAAAACACACAGCTGCAAAAGTACAACACTAGGGGAGCCATAGGCACCATCACTATCGCTTAGCACAGTGACTCTGAGGGAACCCAAAAGAGAAATTTGGATTGGAAGGAAGGGATAATATTAAGAAATGTCTGTTAGAGCACTGGAGAGTAGTTTCAGTTCCTGGGGACCACTACATCACCACTTCACCATCTAGAATGTTCCAATCGGTTGATGTAAAGTTAAAGTTGCAACTGCATCATCATCTTGCATAACTGAAATTAAAGGTTTGTTTTTTATTTTTATTTTTTGCAGCTTTATGGAAAAATCGAAAGATGGGTAACATCATTAGGAATTATATTGGATCTAGAGAGATGTTATTCGGTGAACAAAAACTGGCTTTGATCTTGGTTATATAACCTTTTTATTTTTGGTTCAGGTTGAACTGAGATGGCCCACAGATCTTTCCCCATTGGTTGCTATTAGAGCAAAACCACAAAGCCCAGAAATTGCAGGCTTGCTCACTCTCCAGTGCTTAGCCATCCTCCCAAGGAAGGCAGACACATCTTCCAAGATACTGCTTTCATCAAAAAACAGCTGATAATGACAGATAAAGAGCTGCCTGGTGGTTTTTTTCCTAAGGATTTTCTGAATACTAATAGGACACAGAGCTTTTATCTGAGAAGAAGCCTTTGTGGCCAGTGATTGTCTTGTCGTTAAACCTGGCCACAAATGATTTTGCCCCACAGGATATACTTTACCAACCACAGAAAAAAACAAGAATAAGTAGATACTTTTTTTAATCATGAGAAAGAAATTAGATTTTGAAGTATGCACATGTTTATGCAATAATGAATAAGATCTGTGTGTATGACTAGTGATTTCTGTTTCATTACTGTGGAGTCACACGTTGTGCTTGTGGGAGGCAGAATGAAGTGACCTGGGATCATATTCTAGTAGAGGGAGCCTGAAGCCCCACCGGGCTTTATTTAAGTATATTTTAATGGGCCACCTTGTTCATATACCTCCTGAACTACACAATTAAGCTTACCATGTTAGTGGAAATATGTTAATACATGTTAACATATACATTAATATATGCTGCTTTATATTTACCTTTCATTATTTATCATACATTGGTCTTGCCTCCCCAACTGTAGTATGTATTCCATGAGGTCATGGACCCCTCTAATACTTCTTCTCTTCCTCTTTGTTGATGCTAACAGAGAACTGGGCACCTTCATAGGTGCAAGAATACATGTGGATTGATTGAGTGGCAAAGGTTGTGGATGTGAAAAGTGATCAGAAGAATGATTACAAGGTTCCAAGAAGTTGAGTTTTCAGAGGAGCAAGTAATGGCTTAATTAGAAAGTGACAGATTGGAAGGGAAAATAAAACTCTGAAGAAGGTGGCTTGTCTCAACACTGTTGAGAGAGGAGCTACAAAACAGAAATGGATAATTTTGAACGATGCCACATTTAATTTCCTTATGCTATGGGTTAAGATAATGTAGGGCCAGTTAAGTATGTCGGTTCTTTGAAACAGCTGTAGACAGGCTTCCCCTCACTTTGCATTGCATTGAATCACCATCAATGGTTTCCATAAAGACTTATTTTAAAAATAGGTAAGACAATGGTACATGGTTGCCTTATTGACTGTCATCACTCATAGAAAATATGTTAACGCTTCTTCTGTTAAGTGATGTTCTCACCCCCATCCACCTGCAGTATCAATGATAAATAGTGGGGTATTTGTTTGAAAGTTAGCAGCCAGTAAGATTTTCAACCTGACGTCTTAACATATTATGAGTCAAATGTCTAGACTGACTTTATGAGCAGCTAAGAAGTGGAAATGGTGCCCTCAGCACTTCTTCTGAAATTGTCTAAAGGAGAGTGACTATCATAACTGCTATTTCATGACTTGTTCAAAAGCAAGTGATTTTTTTTATGTGAATACCAGCATCTTTGATATGTATGATTCATCTGCATATGGGTGGAAATGCTGTCTCCCCTGCAATAGGTGAGTGATGGACTTTGATTGTATCAACACATGTTTGGGCCCTCTTGTATTTATGTAACCATTATAAGATCAACGCATCATTGAAGTCCTTCATAGAGAATTTAAATTAATGGAAGCAACCACTTTGAGTCATCACTTCAGTACATTTCTATAGGGTAGGTCACCAGATATGTATCCTCTATTTTTAGATTTGTTTCAGAAGAGAAGGAATAGTGACTTAACATTTGAATAATTATTACAGGTCAAGCTTAGTATAGGGCTTTAATGTCATTGTGTCATTGACTCTTCAACAACATTCTTTAGGTGAGATTATCCTCATTTATACAAGAGGAGAAGGAAACAGAGAGGCTGAGTAAGTTGCTCAAGGTACACACAGCTAGTGAATGTGACAGGATTTGAATCCAAATCTATCATAAAGCCAAACCCATGATGTTTTTCCTTCATTAAAAATATGATTTTTAATTTTCTGCAATTCTCCCACTGTAGCTACATCAATTTTTCATATTTACAGAACTAATATTTATTGTGTATTGACTACATCCCATGGCTTCATTTGCTAAGTGCTTGAAATGTATTCTTCTTTAATTCTCATAACAACCCTGCAGCAGATATGATTATTATAGGGTCTGTATTATAAATGTGGAAACTGAGGTATAGCAAGGCTATCCAAATTGCTCAAGGTCATGTGACTAATAAGTTGCAAACAGGATTTGAACCCAGGCAGTGTGGCTCCACAGCCTGTGCCTGTAATCACTATCCCTAACCACTATACTCTGTATGACTTACCATCTTACACATAAACACACGCTTAGCTTTGACCTTGAAGTGTACCATTTAGTATATCGATATGTAATTACCTAATAGGGACTCAAAACAGAGCTTCTCTGGGTGTCTCACTTCAAAATGGTTTATGTTCTGGCTGAATCAGACTGAGTAAGTAACATTTTACCCTACCATCAATTTTACATGTTTGAGTCCATTTTTCCTATATAATAATGTATCTCTGAAAGACCAATTTCTATCTATTCTATTAAACAAACAGGTGATTCTTTAATAAAAATATATGTGAGGTTTGCCTTCCAGATTATGTTTGCTGTACAATATAAATTAATTACAGATGGAGTATGGGTCAAAGTGGGTAACAATATATCCAAGTTTTCACATTACTTTAGATAGAGGACTTCAAGTAACATCTTGGTACGGCTTTGAGTTATAAAATAAAATAAATGGGCATCTTGCTTGCCTTTGAAGATCCTCTTGCTAATCTCAGATTGGCATCTCAAATTTTAATTAGTGATTTAAAATGTGCTTACACAAAGAACCTTGTCCAAGTTGTCTGTTTCAGCCAAATTAAACTATTAAACTAAGTAACCTAATTAAAACCCTTTTAGCTTTTGATCAATATTTTATTTACATTCATATTTCCTGGGAAGCTTGATTAGCTTTCTGGATGTGATAGTTATTTCTCCCCCATTTGTCAAAGGTTGTTTTTAAAGAGGAAAGTCTTCCCTCCAAGGCTGTGGAACTAGGAGGAAGCAGACAAGGACAGCTTTGGTGCACACCCCTCCTCCCTCTGCACCCTGGGTGCCTAGGGAAGTCGGGCTGTGCTCCTTGCATCGACAGGGAGAGGTCCGGGTTACGGCTATAGCTACGAGACAGCGAGTGGTACAATTGTCCCATAAACAGCTCATCCCTCTATGTGTCCTTCATGGAGACCCTGGCAGCATACATGACAGTGATTGCTGGAAATGAAGACTGTAATGTGCTGGCCAAGCCAAAAAGTAGGTTCCCCTATTCCTTATTCTTAAGAGTCAAGTAGTTTTATAAGACTTGTGAAAATAATGTCCTTTTTTGTCCCCTTTTCACTTTCTCCATGCCTATTTCCATTGGAAAACTGTCATTTCCAAGAAGCAACCACTTCCAGCTGTTTTTATACATTTATGTAGAAATATCTCTAAAAAGCATA